ACTATTCGTGCATTCCATTTGCCTCGGATTCCGATTTTCGGAATCCGAGATTACGTCACATCCGGTAAAAACTCGGAAAAACCGAGTTGGATACGTTCCATTTGCCAAAGAAGTAGCAATACCATCGACCCATATGAAAAAGCAAGATTTTTTGCTTAGCCGGACAACTTGTCGGATTTAAGGTAGTTCGGGCTAATTGTAAGTGAACGAAAATAAAGGCCATTTAAACTGAGGTACCTTAAATCCGACAAGTTGTCCGGCTAAGCAAAAAATCTTGCTTTTTCATATGGGTCGATGGTATTGCTACTTCTTTGGCAAATGGAACGTATCCAACTCGGTTTTTCCGAGTTTTTACCGGATGTGACGTAATCTCGGATTCCGAAAATCGGAATCCGAGGCAAATGGAATGCACGAATATTTCTCGGCTCTCTGAGAAACGGGAGCGCGCATGTCGTCACTTCCGGCTTCAAAACTCATTCAGAGGGCAAATGGAACACACCAAAACTGCCGAAATGGGTTGACAGACACATTTCAGGGATTTTGAGTCATTCTGCGCTGCAGATGGGTTAATTGCGTTAAAAATTTTAATCAGATTAATCATGATGATGACAGCCCCAGCAATATATATATATATACCGCAACCGCGCAGCCGGCGTCACCAGCAGCCTCCATATTCCAGGGTCGCCACCTGGGGTATGTGGGAATCCGGGCCATTCTGGACGCTATCCTGCGGGTCCCGCGATCTCTTAAAGGGACAACGCATTACCGGGACGCGCCGACCCTGGACGTGCTGGACGAGGTGCCCGACGTCCCGCATGCTGCCGCCGCTCTGCCCGCGGCCTCGCCAGCTAACACCGCTAGGCCCGTGGCCCTCCTGCCTGCCGACGCCGCTACGCCCACGGCACCGATTGCTGCCGCCGCTTCACCCGCGACCCTGCCTGATGCCGCCGCTATGCCCGCGGCCCTGCCTGAAATCGCCGCTACGCCCGCGGCCCTGCCTGACGCCGCCGCTACGCCCACGGCCCTGCCTGACGCCGCCACTATGCCCGTCCTGCCTGCCTCGCCCGTCTCGCCCACCCTGTCTGCCTCGCCCGTCGTGCCTGGCTCGCCTGTCTCGTCTGCCCTGCCCATCCTGCCCATCTCGTCAACGCCCCCTGTCTTGTTTGTCTCGCCTGTCCCGGCAGTAGGCGCGCCACCTATAGACACGTCCATCGTCCCTGTGGCTCCGTCCTCACCCAAAGTCCCCGAGAGGGTCCCGGACTGTGGGACCATCTCTCCTCCTCCCATGCGGGAGGAGGAGGAGCTTGAATGGCACCCCTCGGGGATCTACTTGATGGCTCCTAAGGACATTAATGATGGACTGACTCCTCCATGATCCCTTCCACATGGTGGAGCCCGACCTGGTCCGCGTATGTCAGTTTCCCGGAAAGGGAGAGGTCACAGACACAGGGACCAGGTCCCTCCCGCCCTGCCCCCTGGCTTGCCCGTGCGTCCCCTGGCTGTAGCTCGGTGGCTGCCTGCGGGTCCTGCTCTGGCTCGGCTGTCGCCTCTGGGTCCCCCTCCGGTGCCTCGTCGCCCGCCTGCGGTCCCTCCGGCGATGCTTCGTCGGCCGCCTCCAGGTCACCCTGCTTCAACTTGGCATTGGACGGCGCCTTCCCCAGCTCCGGCTGCGCTATCGCCTGCCGCGGCTTCCCCCTCCTGCTTGCCTGCGCCAGTGTCCCCTCCTGCTCCCTCCTCGTCTCCCCCGGTGTCCCCTGCTGCTTCCTCCTCGCCTCCTCTGTCGGTCCCTCCGTCTGTCTAATCATCCCCTGTGTGGTCCCCTCTGGCTCCGGCCTCCCGTCCGCCTGTGGCCCTTGCGGCTGCCTTCCCTCGCCCGCCTGGGTTCCCTCGGTCTCCCCTTGTTCCTCCGTCCTTTCCCTTCCTGCCTCCTGGTTTGTTCCCTCCTGGTCCCTTTGTTCCTCCTGTTTCCGTCCCTCGTCCCTCTGTGCCTCCTCTGTTCGCTCTTGGTCCTTTTGTTCCTCCATGTTTTGCTTCCCCGGCATCTCCCTTTCTGGTTTGTCTGTCTGCATTCCCTGTCTTGTGTTGGGTTCTGTTGTGGCTTTTGCCCTAGTGCCTGTTCTGTGTTTCTTTCCTGTTTCCAGTGCCACGTTGATGGTCTTGTTTTTGCCTTCCAGGTCCTGTTCCCCCGGTTTCGTCCACCCCTTCCCTTGGATACGCCCGGAGTGCGTGATTGGGGGGGGTTCTGTCACGGCCAGCCCCTATCGCCCTCATGTGGACCACGCCTCCTCGTTAACCCCATGTGGAATCCTCCTGCTTACCTGCTGTTTCCGTTTCCTGCTCGTTACCCAATGTATTAGTCTGTGTTCTGTTTGGTATCCCATAGATCGGTCATTGTATATGTTATGGACGTTCGTGTTGGTGATTCCCCTGTCTGCCTGTTTCCCCTGGAATAAACCCCTTAGTACCTTTATCTATGCCTTCACTCCCTTGTTTGCCTGCTTGCTGCCATCACACACACACACACACATATATATATATACTGTATAAACTTTTCACATATATATATATGAAAAGTTCTTCAATAGTTGTCATCCATAAGAACAGGGTGGTGATTGCACCATCATTTCATGACTGCATGCTCAGAATAAATTCAACACGTTTTGGATTAGTCTTATTTGCTGGTTAGGTTGGCTATGACGCCACACTCACACAGAAGAGTGCTTCCCCTTTAAGAGCCTCTCTGTTTTTGTGTTTTAGCTCAGCCTTGTCACAGAGCCTGCTGACTGGCTCCCCTTCGCCCCTGAACACCATGGGCAAACTTCCTCCTCACCGTTCCAGCCTCCCAGCTGCTTGACCCGGTCTGCCAGGATGGATGACCCTCCACAGAGCAGAACACGGCGGATAATGAGCATCCTTCCAGACAAGGTAGTACAATTCCACCAAGTTACAACATTTCTCCGGACACCAATGACCTTTTAGTGACAATTACTTTCATAATCCCTGTCCCACCCCATGCCCTTTAATGAAGTCTGTCTCTGTTACCCCCACTAACAGTCTTGTCTGGTCGCTGCATTTGGACATAAACGAAATGTTAAACTAAGCCAGAAAATTATGTTTCCCTGCTATCAGTCAATAGGACAATGAGGTTTGGGATGAGAGAGAATGACTCCTGAACCCCCCCTCCCCCTCAAAATGGCCAAAATTTACCCCTTTGCAGCACCGCACAAGTGACATGGGGAGACAGTTCCTCTGATGGCATTTTATACAACATACGGTGCATAAAGATTTCCATGTGATGTCCAGGTCAGGCATGCAATGCGTAGTGTAGCCTACTGCCCTGGGGGGCGTTTCCCGAAGCCTTTTTAACGCTAACGTCGTTCGGAAGTTCTGTCTTTTAACACAGAACTTACGAACGATGTTTCGTTGTGAAGGCTTCGGGAAACGCCCCCCTGAGAAGATTCCCAAGTAAAAAGAAATTAGTGAGATTGTTTCTGGATTCTTAATCAAATTGCTTCACTAGTTATATAATTCAGAAAACTCGTTTAATTGCCTTACGCATCAACTTTGTTTGGTGAGTCATATGAAACATTTCAAATAAAAAGGCCATTTATGCACACACACACACTCACACACGTGTGTGTGTGTGTGTGTGTGTATATATATATATATATATATATATATGCATGTATAAATATATATAAAATAACAGCAATAGTAAAAAGTTATCGCTTGCGAGTTTGTTATATTACAGAACCCAATGAAAAATCTGTTTGCGGACTCCAAGGGCGGCAACTTCTAAGGGGGCGCGGATTTACAAGCCACTTTGGCTCGGATGGTGGTCGACGGCGTGTAAATCCTCGCCTAGGGCGCAACATCAGCTAGACAGCTACTGTACTGTTTCTCTTTTAGACCACATAACACCAATAGCCTTTTAGAGTACCTAACACCAATTCATCCTGACTTTATTATCTCTGTCCTATGGTGCGATGAAATGCCATATCTAAAACTGCAGTGACCTATCTTTTCGTCCGCTTGGAGGTGTCTTCGCAATTAAGAGTATTCAAACACCGCATTATAAGCATTATATCACGAATAACCATTTTATTTTTGAAAATAAAATTCTGCCAATAATAATAATAATAATAAATACTGTTCCCGCACACGATATATATTGTGAAATATATAGTTTATTTTTGAATGAAGTATCCTTGGGAGGGAAGGCGTTAAAGCCGATGAAGCATGTCATGGTGATTCTCTGTGCCTTTCCGTCGGGTACGACTGCATTAATCTCTCTCACAATTCAGCACGCAGCGGACGAGGATTGCAGGGAAGACGAGCGGCACTGACGCAGTGATGCCTGTGTCCTCACCTTCAGCGGTGCTGCTTGGGAAGGATGACAGCACCTTGATGCATTACTTTTAGGATCCGCTCTGCAGCTACGTACGTTGGGGAAACGTGGATCGCGCTTTTGTATGAGAAGCACTCTGCTATCACATCATTTTAGCATCTCATGCATGCTGATTTCACGAATTCCTGTAAAAAGCTAATTCGACGGTCGCATGCAGTTTCACGACCCGATAGTGAGTTGAACCGAAGTTTAACGTTTTCTCGAGATCCCGGACGATCACGGGCAAGTACTGCGTCTGAGTATCAAAATGTTTAAGCCAGGTGAACAAAAAGGTACGCATCCTATCTCAGATCTTCTCTGCGTGACACTATTAATTTTGGGTGCTCTTCAGTTTACTATTTTTGAAGGTTTCCAGTGACTTTAAAGGACGTGGGAAACAAGTCATCCACATGTGCGTCTGTTTTATAGAGCTCGCTGGATTTCTTGATGGAAACTATTGAACGCAAAAAATAATAATAATCTTTTTATCTGCCTCTTTGCTGGGTTTTTATGCATGTCTCGTTTATTTGCTAATTTTCCTAACAAGTTACTAGCCAATAGTAAGTCACTAAGCCGTATGCCAGGTTATGGTTGTCCTAGCGGTCATTCTTACACAAGTATAACCAGCCAGCAATATTTATGAGGCATCATGTTTTTATGCAATGCCAGTGCCATAAAAGATTGGAGTTCTTTCCTCACGCAGATCTTGCCGCTCGTGAACAAGACGGCAGATTTTGTCCACCAAAGCATAGAAAAAGTAGAATCTACCACCAGTGCAATGGTGACCGCCTTGGAAGCTGACCTCAGCGGGGTGAGCCCCAGTCGCCCCCCGCCCGACCCGAACCACACCTCGGGGATGGAGCACTTCTTCCAGTACTCCTACTCAGAGAGTGACCTTCTGTACACGGACTTCAAAAACCAGCCCGGCGATCCCATCCCTCTGCCCAAAGCCGTGTTATATTTGGTGATGGCAGCTTTGGTGATGGTCGCTGTGGCGTATGCTATCGTCGGACACCTCGTGAAGGATCTGCTCCATGACTTTGTTGGTGAGTGTTTTGCTTCTGAGATTATTTGGGAAGACAATTTTTAAATTATACATATACAATGGGATGTACACATCTACGAGTCTAAAGTTACGAACAGTGCATAGTTGCCCATAGAGTCCTCCAACAGAACTTAAAGCGTGTGAGCGCGCGTTTGCCTTTGACTGTTTATTTTGCGCACGACTCCCAGCAAAATCGATTAACTTTCTGTCTAGTTGTTTTAATGAGATAAATATTAACTGAATGGTATACGCATCTGTTTTCCAGCTCGCTCATATAGCTGAGATCTTAATGCAAAAACATTAAAGAGGTTATTGGTAAATATATGCCTGTGGTAATGCTTTTGTGTTATCGCGATTTTTTGTTAAATATTTTAACAATTTACATTGTATTATCGGGTGTATTTTTAATGCGTTATAACATATCGCAGAAATGCGAAAGTATAATTTTAAAATATTTTGGCACATCTGATAACCTCATCATCTTGAGAAACAATATGTAGTATTAATGATTTTTATTACACTTTACGTCAACCTTTACTGAGTATCTTAGCAGCTTTCCTTTAACTGCATTTCTTATTAACATCTAATTGATTAAAATATCGCTTTGACTGTGCTCACGCATATTATACTTAGCTGTAAAGTTGAACATCAGCACTGCAGGGGAATATATCCCGTTAAGTATTTTTTCGATCTCATGGTTGAGATCCCTACCGCGCCATCTGGTGTCGTTTGTTCGTATTACACCAAAAACGTCGATCGACGGAAGATCAACATGAAACGGCATCTGCCACGATTATTAATTGCACTCGATCCTTCACTGCGGTGTTTTTCTGTCCTGGTCTGCAGGCGCGTTGCATATGCAAGTGTTTTAAAGAAATCAGAACCAATTAAGATAATCGAAGTCGTGTTGTCCCATGACCCTGACGAGGAGAAGCAGTTGGAAGATGGATGGATGGATGGATGGATGGAAAGTGTTGCATTTGGAAAATAAGAAATAAAACTACATATGTAGTTATATATTTATATTTTTGATTATTAAAAAATGTCTTCGACATAAGCCTTTTTACTTACAGCTCTTTCTCCTTATTCCGTCAAACAATTTATATAAACATGAAACTTATTTTGAATCACTCGTTAAATGGTTACATAAGAGACCTGTTTTTCTTCTAGTGCCCGCCAGGATATGTTGCTTATTCTCAATGTATGAATCATGAGAGGATCATTATCTAAATAAAGATTAATGAGGTTAGAATTAATTGATTTGTACCTTCAGAAACATAGATCCTCTAAAGCAGAACAGATGGAATGTTCATTTTAGAATTCAAAGTGTACTCTAAATCAAACTAAAATGCTTATGCTTTGTGGTTATGCATCTTAAAATGAAATACTGGTATGTATTTCAACAATAAAATTAGGTGTACCTGAACAACCAAAAATATAATAAAGTACAATATATTTTAAAATAATATACAGGAAGTATATAGTAACAATATTGTAGCCATATTGCATATTTGAAGTCACTGTGAGGTACGTAGCACCTTATGCTAATAGATGAAAACAATGATGAGAGTCCATCAATAAAAATATCATCGTGATCAATGAAGTCAGGAGTCTGGACCTGACGTCTTTTACCTAAAAAACACTTTTTGCACAATAAGTGTAAAAGACGCTTTCACTAGGGAAAGCGCTCAGGCACCAGAGATATTCTCAGTTGACACTGCCCACATACCCAAAACCTACATCAACACATCAAAAACAGAGAGGATCAGGGGCTGCAACAGCAGCAGGAAGCACTTAAACAACCCCTGGGAATTACTGGAAGCCTGGTTTATGGAGACAGCAACGGGTACATTTGCTAATCCTCGTCTGTTTTTTATTTGCTTTTTGCCTGCCGACAGTGTGTAAATATGAGGACAGACTTCCTCTACCAGCTGCTGAGGGCTGGCACTGCTTCTTCTAGCTTGTTCTCCCCAATGAGACGCCTCTCCAACACTATTCTTCAGTATAAAGTACTTTTCGTGCCATACATTGAAACTGCTGCAGGTTCAAGTGCAACTCAGGTGCTGCCAGCACAATGCTTGGAATCCCTCTCAGCTGCGCGGATGCATTTATTGCGAGTACAATGCTGCAAGGCTGGAGCCCCATGACTCTGAGAAGAATGAGTGTTTAGAAGACAGATATGTGGGTTTAAGGGTGCATCTTGCTCCTCTGGTGACCCTATCAACCTTCAAACCTGGTCACAACACCAGGTTCTGAGCCACTCTCACTGCACATCTCATTGAAAAATAGGAGTTTTTCTTTCCCTATATGTCATATTTATTGCAGTAAGGTTTTAAACAATCTTAATATGGCTCTTTTTCCTGCAGTGATCTTGTACGCACTTGTGGTCACTCACTGGAAGCTCAGCTTCGCAGTACTTGTATCTTACATGGTTCCTTGACATCCATATGCTTGTTTTGTGCTGTCTGCCTGACCTGTGTATCAGGATAGCCAAAATCATTTCCTAAAAAACATGAATGTAATTGTTAATCAGTCAGATTCATGGTTGAGATTCATTAATCTGGTTCCTGATGGCACAAACACAATGGTTTATGTCATTTTCACAGATCTGGCCTGGAGCCAGATTCTGTAAGGCAGTGCTTCTCAACCCAGTCCTCGTGGACCCCCAGATAGTCCACTTCTGGGGGTTCCCGAAGACCAGGTTGACAAACACTGCAATAAGGTTTTCATTTGCATCACCAGCTCACATTAAATCACTGCTTTCTTCACGTTTGATTATATCCCTCATTTAGCCAGCAAAGACAGTATGTGAAACACCTCTGCTTTTGAATCAAGTTATATCCTAATTATTACTTTAAATGATTATGGTATTTGTGAGGGAAAGATTATAATATATAAAATATTCCTATTGGAATATCAGAATAATTTTTCTATCCATCCATCCATCCATCCATATTCTAACCACTTAACCTGGCCAGGGTCACGCAAGGAGGCCTGGGGCCTATCTCAGGCTGCACAGATGGGATGCCAGTCCATTGCAGGGCACATACACACACAAAGAGACACGCACACACACAAAGAGATGGAACATAAACTCTCAACCGACCTGTGATGTTGGCCTTGATTGTCATTCACTAAAGCACTATCAGTTCATGCCGGTTTTCCCTCTCTTTCTCTTTTCCTCTTCAGATTGGGTGTTTGGTGCCCGTCCAGTCGACACCAGCAGTAAGACTCAAATAAACTGTATCAGCAATAGCATGAATGAAATGAGTGAGTTGGGCGAGCTCACTCAGTTTGCGAACGCTAAGGAGCTTCATCGCGGTCAAAGTGACTGTCTGGATGCCGCTAAGGATGAGGAGTTCATAATCACCATAGACGAGACTTTACACCTACCTCAAGATCCGTACTGTGGTACTTAAACCCATCGCCATTAATGTGTAGTTTGGTTCTGCCTGTAGGGGGCGCGGCAGAAGACAGCCGGTGATCTTGTATGTGGAAATACCAGCGAAACTGCATGGCTCGTTATAAGCTAACGTGACATTAGCATCACCGCCCGCTGAAGAGGTTTCACAGCCCAGGAAGACTCGTCTCAAAGCTGGAGGAAGATGAGGCTGTTTGCAGCGTTTCAACAGACTGCGTCTGCCCTTTACCCATGAAAAGTTACCAAAAAGTGTTGTGGTTAAAACACGGCGTTTTGTTAGAAGGCATTATTGATATACTGTGTCTGGATACTCTGTAGCAAAAAAGCATTTTTTTGGATGCCTGTCATATTTACTTAAAATGTAGACACTTTTAATCATCCCACATATTGCACTCTTGGACACATTGTTGTGGCAATTTTTGGTATTTCTGCGCACACTAGAACTCAAACCTACATGTATACACCTACACACTCTTTTTGATGTTCTCTGATGTGACTAAGGACGATTTTATTTTACATTTCATTCTCAAACTTTTCATTAGTGTAGTGTACGGTGTGACATTTTAATCTTAAAATATCCAAGTTATTCTTTTATCTGGAAGTGATTTAGTTTCTTAATGTTTGCGGAAACATTTACCACAAGTGAAATAAACTAATACAATCATAATGTAATACAAAAATACAGGACATTTAACGGAAAATTGACGGAAATCAAACATGCTGCACACGATTATCCACTTATTCAATGTTGCTTTAAACACAGTGGATATTCATAGTTAATAATATAAATAATCCATCCATCCATCCATCATCTTCCGCTTGTCCGGGGTTCGGGTCGCGGGGGTAGCAGCTTCAGTAGAGGCACCCAGGCCTCCCTCTCCCCAGCTAACCCCACCAGCTCCTCGGGGGGGACACCGAGGCGTTCCCAGGCCAGCCGAGAGATATAATCCCTCCAGCGAGTCCTGGGCCTGCCTCGGGGCCTCCTTAATATAAATAATATTAATATCAATTATGGAACCTCTGCCATTTACTTGAATTTGAGACACTTTGTGTTTGCAATATAATGACGTTGTAACAGTAAAACACGAGCAACAAAATTATCCACATTTTTATACAACATCACCCAGACAAACGTTTCACCAAACTGCTCGGCAATTTGTCAATTAAATTTATTTTAAGTTCTAGCTGGAGGATTTTCCCTGTTGCGATTTTCAGTTTTTGTCTGTTATCGTTAACACAACACGTATAGTTTTGCTTAAAACTGAAAAGGATATAAACGGGGCATATTTAACACCAAAACTTGTGTTATGGGGGTAAAGTGTTTTTCATAACCTTCCTTTCTATCTCAGAAATAAGGGCTATAGGTTTTTGTCGTCATGTATGCCTTTGGATATTATGACTGCAGTGAGTGCAGGTTAATTAGAACGACAGTACAGCTTGAGCGTGTATTGTTGAATATAGGGCTGCTGTAATTTATAGCCTATGATGAACACATGTTAAGAAGTCAGGGGCTCATCTCAAAATTCAGCTTGGTCTCTTTGTACTATGAACCATCTTTGTTTCAATTTCCAGCCGCTTGTGATTTTGTGTTCTTCGGTGTTTTCCAAATGCAGTCAAAAACGGAACAACACGTGAATAAAACAAGCATTTCAAGCACTCATTCTGAGAATTTTCTTCTGGGTTTCTCCCAAATTTGTAGCCTCACAAACAGATGGTGAATGTGTTCTTTACCTCAGGTGTGAGGGAATAAAATTACAGCTAATATTCAGCCCTGGCTGCCAGAACTACTTTGCTGGAAGGGTAGGCGGCATACGTGGGTGGGACAGTTTAATTAGTAATATGCTACCGTTATGACAGCAGCAACTGACAGACCCTCAGTGGTGAAGCAAATTAAATCTGTCATATCGGTTAATATTAATCTTATTCATACTGATTAGTCTTAAGGAAAAAAACAAACTATGGTGTACCTTGCGCCATGCTGCACTATTTCAGTGTAAGGCGTATTGATCGCTTTCACCAGGTGTTGGGTGTTATTTTTCCACTTAAAGTGTTCAGCGACGCAAAAATTAGTCTTGTCAGCTAGGAATTTCATCGCTGCTACCCTGCCCTACCCGCTATTTCCCAATAGAATTCACTGAGCACGGTATAAGTCAGGGGTGGCCAATCTTATCCGCAAAGGGCCAGTATGTATGCGGCTGTTTTGCTGCAACTCCATATTTATATTAATAATTAGAATACTGATTGGCTGAAAAGTCCTCACACCTGGGTTTGAACAGCTGACCTACAGGTTATCCCAAAAACCTGCATGCACACCGGCCCTTTGCGGATAAGATTGGCCACCCCTGCTGTATGTGGACTACTGTATGCAGAGGCTTAGGCCCGCCGCAGCCACTAGGGGGCCCCCAAGCTGCAAGTTCAGCCTCAATACATTTGGGAAGAATTGAAATCTTCATTTGTAGGCAGCTAAGCTCCCTCGTGTGTTTAGTGAGGCACTTTCATACTTTGAAATTAAATCTAAGATATAAACAAAAGTAAACTGAAATGATAGAGAATCTGTGGCTTGTGTTTCTGGGGTAAATAATTCAAAATCATCATTAGACTGTCGCGAAATAAGTGACATCTACCGACAAGTATGATGCGATGACTGATAAGCACATGTCACATCAGGAGGAGAATGTGATGGTAGCCCAAGCCGCTGTGATACCTAAATGACATCAGATAGGGCTTATCCCTCTGCTGTGGAAAACCAGAAAATAAAATTGAAGAAGAAAAATATGCACAGGATAAAGGTAAGCCGTTAATGATGTAGATTAACTTGTGGGGTGGAGTGGGGAGCTATGGATAGAAGTGCCAGTTTTGGAGCAATTTTGCTACTTTTGTCCTGCTGGTATCTCAACTAGCCTCAGCTAAATTGAAAAGTTAGCCGGCTCCGCTAGCTCCAAGGATTGTTTATTCAGTGTGTGCTTTATGACGGCACACAACCTACATGGCAACCTGGAAAGATTTTGAACTGCGTCCACAAACAGGAAGGATCATAAACCAAGCTGAAAGGACACTTTTAGAGGCTGAGAAGAGGCACTGGAGAGATGTCCTGACCCGCTTGATCTCTATCATGCAGTCTTTAACGGAGAGAAATCTTGCTTTGAGAGTTTCAGCTAACACGTTACACTGCGCTCCCCAGTCTTGGCATTGACATTGTTCCTCTATGTTCCCTGTGTCCTGCCTGGTTCCAATCCCCCTCGTCTGTTCCCCAGAGATTCTGTTTATTTCAAGTCTTTGTTCCTTTTGTTTAATAAAGCCCCTTTTGTTTGGTCACTACGCCTGCTCCTGAGTCCTTCCTCCTTCACGTTGTGAGGTACATTCTTTAAACTTGGTGATGGCTGATGCAGCAAAAGTATGACAGATGCCATCAGCTACTTTGGCCATGTACAGAAACTGCACACCCTTTTCTCAGCAGCCCCGCAAAGATGGATAGTCTTAAAGGAACATGTGCCTATTGCATTGGAGTGACACCTGGTGGGAGAGCCGTGTCAGCAGCATAGAGGCTGTGTGGACCCAGGCCTCCAACATAAGGGAGGCATTGTTGGAAGTCAGGGACAAAGCGACGGATCCTCTGACTAAGGTTGAAACACAAAGCTTGGCAGGAGACGTTGGGTTATACCGCATCCTAATCTGCACAGTATGACATCCTAAGCCACATGAACCATGTAAGCAGGCTCATGCAGTCTCCCACAATGCAGCTTGATGTGGCAGTTGAACTCCTCATGAATGCAAAAATGCCGACTAGTTACAGAAACACTGGCCTTGCTGCAATTCGGGCCTCTGCTAAAGACATGTGTGAGGGAATGAATGTAGAGGCCGTGCTACAAGAGAAGAGACTAAGTAGCACCAAACATTTTGCCTGTGAAGCCTCAGATGAGCCTGTGGTAGAGATGCCATGAGGAGGCTAGAAACTGCATCCTTTAATGTAGTTGTTGACACAAGCTTTGAATCGTCAAAAGATTGGTTTGAAACACTGGGCGAAGTGAGTGCCAGATTTGGAGTGCTGCTCAACTTCAGGAAACTGGATGGTGGGGAATTGTGCAACCAGTGTGACAAACTCTGCAGCACATTAAGTCCTGGAGACAAATATGATATGATGGAAAAGAGCTGGCTTTGGAAATTAGCAACTTGCCAAGCCTGTCTTGTGATGACATGACTGCACTGGAGCTTCTCTCTTTCCTCCACAAAAACGCCCGAATGAACTGTATCCCAAACTGTGAATGGCCCTGCGAATCGTCTGCACTCTTCCTGTGACTGTGGCCTCAGCGCAGAGGAGCTTCTCAAAGCTGAAGCTCGTCGAGACTTACCTGAGGTCATCCATGGCACAGCGTCGCATCACTGGTCTTGAAATAATCAGCATCAATCATGAGACTGTCATATGATGACATCACTGACAACTTTGCTTATAAAGAAGCCAGGAAGCAGATGCTTTGAGGGTGATGAAGACTGATCACAGTCACAGGTGGTTTTGCTTTTATTATTTGCACTTTAAAATAGATGGTTGTTTATTGTATTTTTATTCTAGGTAATATGCAATTTTGTTTTTTCATCTTGTGTTGTTGCTTGCGCATTCATATGGATGCTGGTTAATTTTTTTTTCTAAGTAATGGTTTAATTTATTTATTTATCTGCACAATGACCCAGTTTATATTTTATTGTTTTAAGTGGAAGGTGAAAGAATTTTTACGCTGTTTTGTTTCGTGTTTACTAAAGTTAAACATTTTTGAGGCAAATGCTGCATCTGTTGCATTTATGGAAATGGAGGAGCCTCATTGTTTACCTTTCAATATCATTTTCTGTAGGTTTAATTTACTTGGATGAACTTGACATCTTTATTTTTTTTTTATTCAACTTTAGATTCACAAATCTAGCCTGTTTCTTTTTAAGGGGTAACAGACTGATGCATCACCATGGATCATCTTAAAGGGTTTGAACTCCCCCCTCCCATCATAGTTTTACAAAATAGGGCCCCCCAAACAGCTATAAATGGCCCTGCTCATCCTCTTCCCTGGGGTGGGATGTCTGGTAACATGAATGACTTGGGAACACTATTATAAGCATTTAAAGGACAATTAAATTGCTTATTTTCAATTACCTCATTGTCATTAAGATTAAGAACATATTAAGATTCATTAACATGCCACTCATATTTGCACTATAATCACACTACACATTAAGGCCGTTCCAACAGCATCTTATTCTGTGATTAATGCTAGTAGCATGAATATCTTGGCAAGAGCCTAGCTATGCTAAAAAAACAGTAATATTTAATGGCTGTTGGGAGACTTTAAAGAGGATAACATAAAATTCACACCAGCTGCAAAGGCTGTTCCCCAGGTTAATGTAAGTATAGATATATAATTGCCTAATTGAGCAAGTCTGTAATAAAACTTCCCAGTTATATGAAGAATTCAAAACAAAACTTTGCCTAAAATGATTAAGGAACAAAAAACTGAACCAGCAATCAATGTACACTTCACTTACAGTAGATGTTTGAATACTCTTTATTCATGTGTGAATGGCTTTATTTGCAGTAGATTTCACATACATATCAGTGGTTGAATAATCTTTCTGCCTTGAATAAATTGAACCAACAGCAGAAATATGATACAGTCAAAAGCATGCTGTACTGTATGCAATGCGACTTGTTACTGTGGAAAGATCAGAGCAGAATGCCGCTAGCGATGCATATAGCCAGACAGCTGGGTTTCTCTCAGGTGGGGCCCTTTCCAAATGTCTACAGGAGCACAAGTTGCAGTTCTTCGCATCTCAGTGGCACTTGGTCATGGGTTACCACCAAATTCCCAAAACTGCATTTCAGAGTGACTTATGATACATTATTTCTGAAGGTGTTGAATATGAGGTGATTAATGCAAAGATGATGAATCGCTTACCTATTTTAACAATGGTAAAATGCTGGACTGTGAACTTCATTTCTACATTAATATGGGTAAAGAAAGAAATCAAAAAAGATGACAGAATGACCTGAAGGAACATTAAGTCTTCATCCTTTGCTATCATCATTTAAAGCTTTGAAAATCAATCCATCCATCCATCCATCCATCAACCTTCCAACCACTGCTCCTATACAGCATCATAGGGGGGCTTGGAAACTAGTAACCACAAGGTAGGAGGAGGGGGATTCCTTGGATGGGATGCCAGTTCTCACACACACACACTGTAAGCAGTTTTCAAAATCAACAAATAAATTAATTTAATTTCATAGTAAAGTCTATAAAAGGTCAAAATCTTGACTCTTGAAATACCAGTATTTATTACATATCACACCTAAAGTACAGTGACATGGGAAGTTATGAGAAACAAATGGAACTTTAACTGTCAGTGACTTATTTCCGACAGATAACTTAGCGGGAGGTAGCACACAGCTTGTAGGGTTTGGGGCTGTGGGTGGCCCCCAATTTGAACTCCAGACTGGGTTCCATGCCAGGGGGTGGAGAGAGGGTGAAGCGCTGGAGAAGGGAGGTGAAGAACAGGAAGAGCTCCATCCGAGCCAGCTGCTCCCCCAGACACACTCTCTTCCCTGTGGAAAAAAATACAAATACAGTGGTACCTCAGAACTCAAACTTAATCCATTCAGAACTCCGGATCGAATCCTAGAAAGTTTGAGTTCTGATCGAATTTTCCCCATAAGAAATAATGGAAAACCAATTAATTGGTTCCCGGCCCCAAAAAAATACACCGAAATATGTTTTTTTTAGGATTTAAACACAAAATTAACCGGACAAAACAAGAAAAGCATATACTGTGTCAGCTAATTATAATACTATTATAATTAAATGTATTAATGGTTTATTATTAATATTAAAATAATTAATAAGAAATCTTTATTTTAAAATGTATTTTATTATATATATAATAATTACTGTTACTGTCTATCATTGTCTAAATGTATTTTTACTGTCTAAATACATGTATTCAGCTAGTGTAAACATGCACGATACTATCACAGCGAATGCGAGGCTGAGACTGAAGCTTTACCCTTTTTTTTCCGCTGAGAGATGTGCCCCGTTGTCACACCCACGCCCACCCGGTCACGCCCACTCCTGACGTCAGCGACTACAGCCGGTCCTGCCCACGGAGGATGGGACTCCCTATATAGTCCCACACCGGCAAAAGGTCGGTGCGAGGTATTGTTGGCATGCCACTACTAAGCGCTGTAACTTGGCGTTCACCGTTTGACTTCTGAGATTCAGATCGAGTTCTAAGTAATTTTTTTTCAAAGTGGTTGGTTCTAATGAGTTTGAGAACTGAGGTACCACTGTACTTTGTAAAATTCTATCCATAAAAAGTTGTCTTTATACATATATTGAAATCTTCACCTTCACCACCTGTATTCACCTTCAAAAAATATTTATCAATAAAAAAAGAATCAACTGTGAAGTAGAATTCATTCATTCATTCATGAATTCTCCACCACTTATCCAGGGCCAGGTTGTGAGGGCAGCAGTCAAAGCAGGAATGCCCAGACCTCCCTCTCCCCAGCCACCTCCTTAGCTCCTCTAGGGGAATACCAAGGCGTTCCCAGGCCAGCCAAGAGATATAATCTCTCCAGAGGGTCAAGGGTCTGCCCCGGGGCCTCCTCCCAGTTGGACAGACCCCAAACATCTCCCCAGGGAAGCATCCTGGAGGCATCCTTGATAAATGCCCAAATCACATCAACTGGCTCCTTTCAATGCCAAGGAACAGCAGCTTTACTCTGAGTTCCTCCCAAATGTCCAAGCTAGAAATCCTTAGATCTAAAGGAAATTTTACCAGCTGAAAAGGGCATGAAGGCATCTCTCCTCCGGAACTTCCCCTCTGCATCCAGGAAATGTCCAGGATTGAAGGTGAAGGGAGTCTCCCATTCAGTCTCATCAAAGAGCACAGAGTCTAAAGTCCCCATCAGCGTCGTTCCCTAAAGCACAGACAAAGACCCCTGAAACATTACGAGCATAACCTCACATGGGAAGAACATGTGAAGGTGTCAGCTTTCCATGAACTATAACAAGCTCCATGCGGAATTTCATTCCTCACCTTTGGAATTGTGTATCCTCCCAGCTCTGTGTCTTTCGTGGTTGAACGTACAATATTCAGTGGTATAATGTTGCCCATCCTCTGTACTTCATGGATGACAGCGTCAGTGTACGGCATGTTTGGTCTGTCTGCCATGCTGGGCTGACGTGACCGTCCAATCACACTGTCTATCTCATCCTGCACCTTCTCTAAAGAGAGTAGGGTACATATAGACAAACCAAGCTAACGCCCATTTGTTAACCCAGATGATGCAGTACAGCTTTCTTTTATTAGAAGAACCCTCTACTAGATATCTGACATTGGATAGCAAAAAAATTCCTTATGTTAAACACAGAAAAAACAGAAGTACGGCTAGTTGGTCCCCAGGCTGCCAGAAATAAGTTTGATAACCTTAACCTGGGTGGTCTTCCTGTTCAGCCTAACACAGTGGTCAGAGATCTTGGTGTCCTGGTTGATTCAGATTTACCTTTCGATGCTCACATGAGAAGTATTACTAGAACTGTGTTCTACCATCTATGGAACATAGTCAAGTTTCGGAAGATGCTCTCCTTTCATGATGCAGAAAAATGAATACACGCCTTTATAACTTCCAGACTGGACTACTGTAATGCCCTCCTTTCTGGTTGCTCATCCGGATCCTTATATAAATAAACTTCAGAATTGATCATATTAGCCCCGTTCTATGCTCCCTTCACTAGCTTCCAGTTAAGTTTCAGATTGACTACAAAAAACTGCTATTAACTTATAAAGCACTGAATGGCCTTGCGCCAGAATTCTCAAGGAGCGTGATATCAATTAGTACCTAGGGTAAAAAGAACTACGGCAGGCTGCCGAGCATTCTCTTATAGAGCTGCTCAGCTTCTAGAGCTCCTCAGTGTCTTCCACCGGATGTGCAGAATTCAGGCTCACTCTCAATATTCAAGTCTAGGCTAAAAACACACCTGTTTAGTCTATCCTATAGGGACTCTAGTTCTAGCTCTAGCTAACTGCTCACTCCCAGTTAGACCTATAGTGTGAGGTGTAGAGCTGGGTGGGGATCGGTGCCATTGGCTTTGGATGAACTGAACTGTCAGTGCTGTCATTCTAGCTTCACACGCCCTTGTGGAATTCACCTTCATAATTTCTTCAGAAGCGGAAAATAATTATCTTCAGAGATACAAACTTCATTTACTATATCAAACACTATATTGCCAAATAATCATTAGGAAAATTTTAATCGATGCTTTTTAATAACCAAGTAATCGAGTTTAATTGAGTAACCGTGACATTCGTTATCATTTCTTAAGGCAAGACTGTTTTATTCTTCCAAAATGTGGTTAATAATATAAAACCAACCTTGTATGTCTGGATATTTGATCATGTACAACAAGCCCCAGTACAGCGTAGTAGATGTAGTCTCAGTTCCAGCCACGAACAGATCAAAGGTGCAGTAACACAAGTTCTCCTCATTAAAACCGGCGTGAACATCATCTTTCCACTGGGACAAAAAAAAACACTTTAGATATTCAGATGTCATGGGGAAAATGATACTTGGGAAATCAAAATGATACTTGTAATAACTTGAAACTAATTTTTCCATTTTACTTATTGCGTATTCCATATGAATTATTTCCATAATTCTATTCTGTTCTAATTATACTTTAAAGAGCAAAAAGAGAATGTATTTCACCTATTAAATGTATGTAACCACTCACTCAGTCCACACAGTGAGGATCCAAATCAAGTTGCAGGAAAGATTGCTGAAACATGCTAAATTAATACTTAGCTGTACTGTGATGAAATTACAATTAACTGTGAAGCACGATACCTTTTCCATCTCCAACAGGAAGCTGTCAATATAGTCTCTAGGAGATGATGGGTCCCAGTCTTCCTGATGCTCTTTAATTTTCAGCCGTATGAAAGAGATCACAGTTTCCCAGTGTAACAGTATTTTCTTGTGGGGACCAGGGATCCTCCGCATCAACCAGGGGAAAATATTATACATCTAAGACAAACAAAAAAAATAGTCACTTAGGTAATGTGCAGTGGGGGATTAACTTCTCTGGTGGCCCTATGCTGACATGCTTAAGGGCCCCCAGAGGGCCACGTACAGTAATTTTGTACCTGAAAGATAAATGATAGAGAATTTAATCAATGTAAAGTCAATAATCTATGAATCAGATTATTGATTCATATAATCATATAGATTGGGACCTGATATTGTAGACCCTAGGTGTAGCATACAGTAGCTCATGGATTAATCCACCACTGGTAATGGTGGTAGTTCAGTTAAAACAAACAAAGTGTTAAGCTATTATACATTTCTGAACATATGAGTTGAGAAACAGCAGCAAACCTGAGCCCAAATGCTTCCTTCTAAATAAACAGCTTCACTGATCAGCTTCAGCAGAGTTTGGAAGTAGATGTCATTGTAGTCAAAGCGATCCCCAAACACCAAGCAGCAGATGATGTTGGAGACGGCATTGTTCACGGTGAACTGAGGGTCAAATGGTTGGCCTAAGGAAAGGATTTGCATCAGGTTATACAGTATATCCAGCTCTGTTTGTCAATGGATTGTATTGTACTGCATTTCAGATATTTGCTAACATAGCAATCCGTGATGATTTATAAATAAACAAATGGGAATATTTATACAGATTATACAAAGGGCTACATCTTACATATCACAACCATCATGGGATAAACGTTCATGTTCAAGTAAGTTTGTACCTTGTGTATTGGCTATGACCTCATTCAGTAACGTGCTCTCCACCTGAATGGAGGACTCAAGGCTCTTTTTGCCCAGTCCAAAGTTCCTCAGGGTTGAGAGAGCAAACCTTCTTTGTTGTTTCCACAGGTAGCCACTGGAGCCCACCAGACCTCAAAGAAACAAACATTTTCTCATTCTGAAGAATAAAACCAACAAAAATTTGCTAAGGCGATTTCCCACCTTAGAACCTTTTTCAGGAACTAAGAACTTCTGTCACATTTCCACCATGGGAACCCGATTGTAGTTTCACAGAGGTAGTTCCTGAACCTACTTTTAGTTCCTACTCCGGAGTAGGTGCTTTTTGCTCGACAAAGAACTACCGGGGGGCCTAGAGTGATCAACTTTGTTGAATGCTTGACCACAAGCACCAAGGCTAACTTGGAAGTGTGGGGAGATGAGATAGGAGCAAACTGAGCAGGCTGTATTGATAAAATGCTGTGTCCTGCTTTATATTTTTGGACAGCGCAATGGATCCATCCAATAGTTAAAAAATAACAAAATGTACTCATTCATCCGCCATTGTTTTGGGCTGACAGTATAGTTTCTAGTAAAATTACATGTAAAGTTTAACCTACAAGCTTTTTGCATCTCCCATGCTTATACAACATAGAGAAGGTGGCCAGGAGCTACAAAAGTTCCCAGTGGAAATGGCCCAGGCACTAGGCTTCTGACCTTTGGTAGGAAAGCGCCTTTAGTATACATACACTCAAAAGATGGTTCTGTGGTTCTACATAAATGAAAACATTACATATCTAGTGGGGCAATGCATATGAAAATATATACATTGTGGAGAATCAATGAGAAGGACATCAAAAAGCAACAACTATAACTGGTCGCTATCTTGTGGTGTAAAATGGAAGTCTAGATACTGTAGATAGTGGACGACCCACTTGTGGCTCACAGGACAAAACAGGGTCAAGAAACACTTACAAAACAAAGGACCACGAGGGGTCAAAAGAAAAAGGAGATAAACTAGTTATGTTAAGCTTGACACCGAAGCTCCGAGGCATGTGTAAAAAAAACGATACAGTGCATTCTGAAGCAGAACTTCGATGCTTCTTCCATTCTACCCTAAACACGTGACCATGGTGACCCGAAGCTTCGTTCTGCGCTCAACCACGTCACTGCTTCAGAAAAGTGAAAATGAGGCGTGAACCTCAGTGCCGGTTTCGAACGTGTTGTAGAGCACATACGTGTTGTAGAGCACATACGTGTTGTAGAGCACATACGTGTTGTAGAGCACATACGTGTTGTAGAGCACATACGTGTTGTAGTGCACAAACGTGAGAGCAAACACACTGCTTTGTAAGTGTTTGAGCTATGGAACCAGAAAGGAAAAGAGGTCATTCTGAAGTTTGGCAACACTTCAAACTTGTATCAACAAATAATGTGTGTTGTTTGATAAATTGGGCAATATTTATTTATGTGTGTAAAAGTATTGATTCTGTTATTCTTGTACTGCTCTGGTCCAGGTGGAATGTTTGGAGTGCTCTCAGCAGTTGTCCTATAGTAAGAACACCTCATCAATGTTGAGACATTTCCGTGCAAAGCATGAGAATGTCAAAAATATTCCATCCACATGTCAGTCTACAAGAAGTCCAGGTATAGCACAGTCTTGCAGCTATACTAATAATAACCAACAACGTACTACTACTCCTAATAATAATAATTATAATTAGTATTCTTAATGAAGAACTAATATGATTAATTAATAAGCATACGTATTATGAATTAGTCTTTATTGTGTTCAAGGAACAGCTTAATTGTACAAATACCTAATATCAAACATGGGTGAGGGTATTACCCTATAATCTGTATAATGTTACTGTGTATGTTTTTGATTCCCGTCACAGAGACCAAGAAACAAGATTGATGAGGCCTTGGTCAATATGATTTTAAAGGATTCACAACCCTTTAGCATTGTGGATGATGCTGGATTTAGGGAGTTTGTGAGTATCTTGGATCCAACCTACATTCTCCCCTCCAGGCAAACATTAAAGGGTTTGGTAGCAGAGAAATTTAAGATAGAAAAAGAGAAAGCAAAGGAAGAGGTGAAAAAGGCCAAGGCAGTAAGCCTAACTTCTGACATGTGGACGTCCATACATATGGAAGCTTATTCAGCAGTCAAATGGCATTTTATAAATGAAAAGACTGAGCTGTCTTAGCACCTATTAGCACCTATTCCATGCTACAGCGATTGCATGGTGAAAGAGAGCCAGTTGGTGCTGCATTGGTCACTTTGAAGACAGAGCTCACGACCCTGACCTCAGAGGAGTATGACATCATTCATGAGTGTCTGGATGTGCTATGTCATTTCAATGAGGCAACTGTTGAACTATCTGAAGAGAAGACAGTGTCAGGATCCAAGGTCATTCCTCTCATCCGCATGCTTAGACATGCTGTGAACCTAAAACTGTCCCAGGCACAGAACATCAAGGCCCAGCAGTTGTGCAAGAACCTCTTGAGGTTGCTCATGGAGAGGTTGTCCATCTATGAAACCATGAGCATTATGACACTGGCCACACTGCTGGATCCAAGATATAAAACTGCAGGTTTCTGTAACCAATCTAATGCTCAGACTGCTGTGAAACGCCTTACAGCAGAGTGTGCATCCATCATATGATCGCAGGAGGCCCAGCAGAACCCATCCACTTCCACATACACTCAGCCACCAGAACCAGAGCCTGCAGGAACCTCATCTGGTACTGCAATGGCCACCGGTACTGTTGCAGCCTTTCACATTTTTATGATATGGTTCAATTACACTGAATTGGGATATATAATTATTGCACAGTACATAATGCATAGTGTAGATAATGATTCATGCTTTGTCATTGTGGTTCCAGGACTGTGGGATCTTCTGGACAGTGATGTGGGGGAAAGCAGACGGATCAAGAGTTCAACAGCAGATGCTACTGTGGAGGTTCGGCAGTACCTCAGTGACCCCAATATACCATGTACTGAAGACCCTTTGAGGTTCTGGGATATGCAGCAGACTGTGTATCCACACTTATACAAACTTGCAGTACAGTTTTTATGCACTCCAGCATCCTCCGTTCCATGTGAGCGGTTATTCTCCAAAGCAGGAGAAGTGATGAATAAAAAACGTAACCAACTTAGCCCCCGCACTATTGAACAAATACTGTTCCTGAATAAAAATCTGTAGACTAATGGCCCCTCTTCCATTACACAAGCACCCCTTCCCAGTTAAGTCAATGGTTTCCCAGTCCACAAGAAGTCACACTCAATTTCACCAGGTCATTAACGTTCATAATGCACTACAGACCATTAGAATTTTTGCCAATTTATAAATATTCAGATTCATATATTTAAATACAAAAGTTAAGGCATGTATTTTCCAATTTAAACATTTAAAGTTTACAATAAACATGTTTCGTTATGTTAACTGAAATTAGGTTTACATAATTAACCAGCTACAATGATTCATTCTGTACAGCACATATAAGCTGAGCATATATTCTCAGCCACACTTTAACAAAATTTCTAGCACTGATATATGTGTGTAGAGCTGTGCAATATGATGATATATATCGTGTGATGATAGTAAATGTCTGTCGTTTGTTTATTTCATTGTGTCGCAAATCATACTCTTATATTTGGCACAGATGCAAACGGGAAATTTGCAAAGCCACGGTCAGTGATAGATGATCTGCAACTGCATGTACACTAAGTTTCTCGCATGCATGCATAGCACAACATTTCAACATTTCTGCTTGTAGGACTGACCTGCTCTCCTGCTCTGTAATCCTGGCTTTGACTTTGCTTGCCAATTCTGCTTCTATTCACTTGGATCTTAAAATAAAGATTCAAAACTTCTGATGCCTAGCCCCAAATTATCTGTCCAATCACTGTAGTCATCCGATTACAAAAAACAGCAATGTGATTATTAAAATGTGACGCAGCACTAAGTAGAAATGTATTGGAGTAGAAAGTATATGTGGAAAGTGTCCACAGCTAAATCTACTAAAGTACAGATATGTGAAAAATGTACTTAAGTACAGTAACAAAGTAATTGTACTTTTACTTTCCACCACTGGAGGTGTGAGTAACATTATCATACCTCAAGATATATTGGGCTATCTGTGTCTTGAAGTGCATTTCAGTTTTGAGAATAGAGGCATGAATTTGCCAGTTCAAACAATTTGTTACTGATTATTATTTTAAAGCCTACCTTGGTTATGCTCAATATCTTCAAGTAAAGGCAGCTCGGGGCGATCTGCAAAGTTTTCCCCGTGGTGAACTAGGGCTTCTTTCACAAGTTTAAAACCATTCACAACAACGATGTTATGTCCCAGGCGAAGACTGAAAATGTTTCCATATTGCTTGGAAAGCTGGATAAAAAAAAAAGCAATACAAAAAACACAGTTAATGTCAAATGTATGATATGTTTCGGCATTATTGTTATTATTTTCCCTACATACACTGCAACAAATAAAAATTCAATACAGTTTAACATTCTGTGAACATAGCATGGCATGCTACTTATCACTGTCTTGCATATACGGGGCACAGACTGGGGAAGCAAGAACAGGACTCGAGGAGTCAGGTGAATACGGGGCTTAATTAAGGAAACCACATTTAGGCACATATAGCAACAGCACAACGTTAATACGTTAATGACTGGACTGGGGAAACATACTCTAACGCAGACTTATATACACCAGACTAATTAACAAGAACGAGAAACAGCTGGTAACATGGCGATTCCAAACGAGGTAGATGAGGGGGCATGACACATGGAGGGATCGGATGAGCAGAGCATGACAATCACCTTCACACACTTGAAAAGACATTTAGGTATGTAAATTAGCAAGTCAGTCAAAATACAAAAGTTTCAATGAAATGTGCTTTACACACCATCGAGAAAAACTGTAGTGCTGGGCAGACTGAAGCATCACAATGGTGGCGAAGAGATGAAGCAAGATGGTTTAGCACAAAGTTACTCTTTTAAGCACAGCCCTTAAAGGACCACACACAAGCAACCACAAGGTTTCAACCACGAATGGCAGGGAAACGCGGGGAGGTTACTCAAAGGACGGTAAGGCACACACACAGTGGATAATTACACAATGGCTAAGACATGTGACGATCAGACAAGGACTGAATACAAACACAGGTGAGGGCACACAGGACAATCGGGTACAGACAAGCACTTACGTTATGGATTACAGACAGGGGCTATTTACAGTGGCTTGCGAGCATGCCGGGATATGCAAATTGCCATCCGCAACCCACCGGTGCTACAATACTATATGACATATTTAAGTGAATCATAATATTTGTGCTATAGATAATAATGTATTTTTTTTATTTTGTGCACTTAATAAAAAAAGGGGTGCTGGCAACCATTTTTCTTTACTGGGTGGCCGCACCATTTTACTGCTTTCCCATCCATGAAAATAATTTCCACCACTGGCATAAAGTTAAACTTATCTTACAATCATTAAGCTTAGGCTAAGTTTTAATAAATGTTAAACACTTAATAAGTGTTGTTGGTGCCACCACTCTGCAATTTCATTTTTTTGTGGCCGAACAATCAAATTTAATGAAATATAATATATTATATCCAGTCATGTGTAAAAATTAGGACACCCCATTAAATATTTAGTTCTTTATTAAGAAATATCAACAATCAATATTAAATCTTCTTTCAAATGATCACCTATGCAAAAACAAGAAATAAATGCACTTATTTACCAAATTAATTAACTAATTTTAAATGCCAATTCCCACTGAAGAAAAAGTTAGAACACCCTATGGCCTAATAGCTATGGGCGTAATTTCCAGGGGGGTTAGGGGGGTCATGACCCCCCCAATAATCAGATCCAGCCAATATAACCCACCCAATAATCATGTTTCCCCTGTAATGGGTGGACACCTCGACCCCCCCAATGTTCCAGCCAAAGTTACGCCCTTGACAGCGCCCAGCCCTAATAAAATCATCATATGTAACGGGACAGTCAGCATTGAACTTTGCTTTATTGAGGCATGACTTACCTTGGCAAACTGAAGGTGGATTTTTGATGAATCAAAGGAAAATAAATTGCCAACAAAAGGTAATGGCCAGGGTCCTGGGGGGTAATTTTTAGGGCCTTTCTGTCTTATTAAGGCGCCAAGTATAAAAAACACAGCAAAAAATGAAAAAATACTCCCACGATCGAGCCATTCAAAAAACCAAAGCACAGAGGCTGCGGTCATTGCTTATGGGAGAAACGAGGCTGCAGCTGAAGGAAACACTGATGATCACTGAAGAGCAGAAGCTTTGTGTTGATCCTGTCATTTGACAATATTATGCCGGTGTATTGCCGGGGATTAGGGTGAAATACACTAAAACATTTGCACACGCTCAAACTACTTGCGCACTCATGTGAAATTTGTGTATGTGAGAGAGAGAGAGAGAGAGAGAGAGAGAGAGAGTTTAGTGTGCCCGGAAGTCATTTCATTGTAAATGGAAGGGGTTACAGTGCAGCACTCCTAAGGACAATTAGATATGAAAAAGTCACTGTTTCTGTTCACTTTGCTTGGCTATTTCACAATTTATCAGTCTTGATGTATTATCGGCAACAATGACGATGTTCATATTTTTTCTTCCACATATTGTGCAGTACTGATTACATTAAACATAACCAGAGAGAAATAGAGAATGGGAACAAGAAGTAAGGAAAGTGAATAAAGAAACCTGAAGACAATGGAGGAGAGGAATCAAAAACTCCCAAGTAAGGAGAAAAAAAATCTCTGGGGGTCCAAGGTCACCTGGCTAAACCCCCCCCCAGGCATACTAACATTACCGAAAACAGAAAAGAGTGGACATGCTTGCTAAAAGGTAGATTAAGAATGGAGGCAAAGTCCGTCAATGAGTCTGTTATCCATGTTGGCCTGTGAAGGGTCGCCAAAGTCTTTCCTCCACGTTGGGCTGTGTCGGGTGGCACTGAAGGCTGCACCCACGATGATACAGTTTGTAGGTCCCATTTGTGATGTCACCCCTCCATGGGACTGAACCAGGACTCCCCGGGCACCACCCGGACATGTGAGAAAGGCAGAGAGTATGGATGGTCAGAACATGCAGCCATAGTTATGGTGTGGTAGGCTGTGGGTAAGATAAACTGAAGTAATGGGTCTTCAGTCGAGATTTAAAGACCGAGACCGAATCGGCATCCCAAACATAGGCTGGTAAACCATTCCACAGTATGGGGGCCCTGTAGCAGAATGCTTTACAGCCAACTGTCATTTTATTTATATGTGGAACGACAAGGAGACCTGCATACTGTGACCTGAGTAGACGACGTGGCTTGTAGACTTGAAGTAAACTCAATGAAGACCTATCTCTTCACAGTACTCAGGTATCTTGTCTCTTGTTGGCATTTTTGTAGCTAAGGATTTTTTTAATGGGGTGGGGTAGCCAAATCCATGCCCAACCCTCCTTCCATCTCAGATGGACTTGGGACTCCATTGGACAGGCATCAGTGATTCCACACCCATCTTTGTCATTCCTTTCAGGTCAGAGGTGCTTGGCCAAGTTGCCTCGGTTCAGGGTTGTATGGAATATTATTTAACACTGTATAACACTTAATGATTATAATCCTTAGGGCAATACTATAAAGACGTAACTTTCAGAATGTAATGTAACCTTGTAACCTTTAGACAGTTTAGAGAATGGAGTCCAGTTAGTAATGCATCATGTAACCAAGGAAATACTCTGTAAAATAAGTGTTTCTGCACCTTATATTAGATTTGAAGTTTCTGTGTCTATATCTTGTTTTAGCCCTGGCTGTATGAATATGTGCATTTGTTAGTTCTGCAGCTTATCGCTGTGTTGAAGACCAAAATACATAACTGGCTTAATAATTAACCAACTTGTGACTACTACTGTTCATTAATATAGAAACTTTGACTACCAACATAGTAAATGATGGGAGTAAAAGATGAAGGCTTTTTGAAGGGTTTTAAAACTTTTTCTCTTCTTTTTATAGATTTTTTTCTTTAATTAAATGAATTAAACTTACAGAAACAAACTTCTTAATGGAGCTTCCTACCATTTTTAAACAAAGAAAATATTCAGTGTGTTATCAATGACCTCATATGATGATATCCTAGGAAGTAATGATCTTGGCATTGCTTTGGTATGAGAAAAAAAAGGTCATGCCATGATCTTTCACATTTAAAAAGGTTTTGATCACTTAAATAATGACTGTGGATAAAAATCTGGCATTGTGCAGAAGTCTCCAATGTGAATTGTGGGACCATTTATATATGGTAAGTAAAGACCAAAGATACACAAAGCTTGGAATTTATTGGTCCTACCTATCAGGGTATAAAGATTACTTGGAGACAAAACTACAAGTAATGCTGTATTAAAGGCACTGACATTTAGGTTATATGAAAATATACTGTTTGTGGCTAAAACCATTATACTGAGAAAAATAATTACTAAATGTAACTGAATGAAAAAAACAAAACTGAGAATTGATGTTTAGTTCATTTCTTCCTTATATTTTCTAGTTATTTAGAGGTGGTTCCTGAGGCAGGCGATGACCTGTTGGAGTCTGGGCACACTGGAGGCTTACGAGAGGAGGCTAGGGGTGCAAGTTCAAAAGGGGGAGGGGCTGAAAAATTGGACTTAGCTGCGCTGTGTCAGCTGCTGGAACTAAGTAGCTTAACCCTAGACAGGTCCAGGAGGGCTCTCTTCTTGACCATGTTTAATTTTACAGTTACCTACTTCCCTGACTTGAACCTTATTGCAAAAATTGTGAAGCACCCACGTGGCACCCAAGCCCAAAGACTATTCCTCCACTGTCCTGCATCATGGCCTACATACAATGCGAGATCATGGAGGAGATTCAGGATGCTCTGCAAGTCAGCAGCTTCAGGTTCCCAGGTGTCCAGATCAAACTCCATCTCATGGTCTTTAAACACCAGCTACACCCTCAATAAGGCTCACCAGAGGCTGTTCTTCCCAAGAAGGCTAAAGAATTTTGGATTGGGAACCAAAACCCCGGTGAACTTTTACAGTACACTTTTGGTAGCAGGACTGTCATGATATCCAATTTTCACTATACGTATTATCATGGCCAAAAGAATTCACAATGATGATATTATCGCGGTATCTATAGAAAATTTAAACAGTTATAATAATGCTACCAGTCAAATTCATCTTTAAATTTATTTATTGTGTATTTTCTGTCCACCATTAATATTTCTTTTAACGACACCAGGTTCATTTTTCGAACTGCTTGCAATCGATCTCCACCAGTCCCTAATGGGATATTCAGCCAGATATTCTGATTTTGGATTATTTGTGTTCTCTGCATAGTTCTGAACAGCATCTGCAGTTTTCTTTGAGTGTGTATGTTATATACACACCAAACTTCATATTTAAAGTCGGAGTGAGCCAAAGCTATAAGTACGTCAAAATAACATGTTTCTAGATTGCAGCAATTAAAAATGTTAAGTAATATTCATCATAAATATATTTATATTTATGTAATAGTGTTGATCCAAAAACTGGAAATCAACGACCAGAGTGAAGACAAGCAAAAAAAAAAAAAAGCGTAATCTTTAACATCAGTTCTCGCCAAACGATAAAGCCACCATTGTAGTTTGCTGTAAATGTATATGTCAGGATATTTTTATAGTATGCTTCGCTTATCTGACTTATGAGTACAGAAAAATACACTTTTTGGCCACTAAAACAGATGAAGCTACCTTCTGGACCATTTAACTCATGTAATAGTGTTGTTGAATCTTTTTGTTAAAAAGGATTCCTTTTCCTTTGTAGAGTAGTGAAATGTTAATGTTTGTTGTATGTTTGTTGCAGTTCTGTGTGCTGTGTAATTCCGACCCACAGATGGCAGTGTCGCTTCATCGGCAAAAGAAGCTGCCACTTCGCTCTTGGTGGAGGTTAAGTGGTGAAAAAAGGGCAAGAATGTGGCGCTAGAAGCAGACAAACTAGTTTATGTATTGCAGCGGTTTATTTTTCAGTAAAATCATTTTGAAACAGAAACTTTGGTTTGGACATTCGTTAATTATCTTCCATCTACGAAGACGGTACAGTTAAGTTCACAATAAGTTAACCGTCTTTCAGCCTAATTTAACTACATCCCCCTTTCCAAAAAAGTTGGGACGCTGTGTAAGATGTTAATACAAACAGGATGCAATGGTTTTTCAAATCATGTAAACCCATAATTAACTAAAAATAGAACAAAGACAACATATCAAAATGTTGAAACTGAGAAATTATATTGTTTTATGACAAATATATGCTCATTTTGAATTTGATGCCAGCAAGTTGGGACAGGGGGCATGTTGACCACAATGTTGCAACACAATATCAATCACAGTTATCACCAACACCGGTATATTGTGATACCCCTAATTGAGAGAATCCTGACTGGATGTATCATGGTGTGGTTAGGTAACCTAACCATTCTGGACCTCAAATTACTGCGAAAGACTGTACAGACAGCTTCAAAGATCATCAGCACAGACTTTTAATAGCTCCAACTGATCTACCTGTCCAACTGCCAGAAGAGGGTTGGGTCCATCATCAGGGACGCCAGCCACCCAGCTCCCTCCCTCACACTCCTGCCCTCTGGAAAGTGCCACCGGTGCATCACCACCTAGCTCAGAGACCGTTTCACTCCCCATGCGTTCATACTGCTAACCAGCGACTGACTTATGTCCCAGTCTAGGGTTCGGCATACAAAAGGATGCGGTGCATTCAGTGTATGCATTTCGGATATGTGTAACTAAGCAAATACAATGAAGAAGCCAAGAGACAGCAAGATATCTAAAAGAAACCGGAAGAGTGTATTGATTGGAGAATTACATTGTGCAAGGGTTTGCATCAGGAAGGACCAAAGCCAAAATAATAAACAAAACACCCACAAGTAACTGATGAAAGGAAACTCATTTCCAACTGAACCTTCCAAAAACAAAAGCGACACAATTCACCTCCCTCTCTTCAAAAATACAAGTGTACCCCCCCCCAAAAAAGATTGATCACTACAACGTTATGCAGAAATATATACAATCGAGCGACCAAAGTCAAAGGATCATAATCTAATAAACAGTCAAAAAGTAAAATCCTAGTGAAACAAAAGACAGTTGAGCACGAAATCACAAGCAAAAGGAGAAAAAATGAATGAATACATTTTTATTCCCTGCCTGGTGAAATAGAGCAGCAGACAATAATTGAACTGGAATTCTGGAGCTCAGCAGAGGCAGAAGTGAAAAGCAGGACAGAGTTAGAGGATAGAATGGAGTTTGTTGTTGAGGACTGATCTGAAATATAGGCACAAAACACACATACACCATCTACACTCAAACTCAATACATTACAGAAAATATATCTCCCATTTCATTATGTTGCCATTTTTAAAATGGCAACCTGCATTTTATCTGTATCTAAACTTTATCCTTATTTATTCTTCTATACTGTGCTCCATTTGCCATATTGCACAAATAATATGTCTTGTACTGCACTACAGACTTGTTCTTCATTGTGTTGTCTCTGGCTCTGGCCATCCACTGTCACCAGGACACACAAATATCTTGGACATAAATTTTGGTCATCATCAACGGTGGAAGATTATGTATTGTCCAGTCCTTTTTACACCCAGACAAAGACCCCACTGCAAGACATTCAGCTGGACCAGGGTTCCCAGTTCACCTCTCCAGTGTGGTGAGTTTTGCAGAAGACTGGGAGTGAGTGTGAACCTGACGCTGGAATACCTCTCCAATTAAACACATAAAGAGAACATCTGAAATAAGCGACTGACACAACAAATCAGGATGATTGGAGCAAGTATATCAACTAGGCAGAGTATGCCTACAATTCTCTTGGATTTTCCAAGGAACCAGTGACCCTGTGTGAACTGTCTCCCCCATTGTTAAAACTCCTGTCCCTAGTTTATCGCCTGTTTGCTCAACTTCAACTATTGGATTCCCCATCTGCTATTGCTCTGCTCTGGTTTGGTTACAGACATCTTGCCTGTTTACATGTTTACTCTAATGACTATGAGGATTTTGTCTTTGCTATTGCTAAAATTAATCACTATGGTTGAATCCACAACTGGACCTCTGTAGGGTTCATTACAGAAGGACAGTTATGTGTTCAGGAAACTTTTACTTATTTTTAACTGTCAGTTAATATCTGGCTTTTAAATGATATGGAATAGACAGACTCAGCGGGTGGTAGCACACAACTTGTAGGGATATGGGCAGCGTGTTAAACCCACTTTGAACTCCAGACTGGGTTCCATGCCTGGGGGTGTAGAGAAGGTGAAGTGTTGGAGAAGGGAGGTGAAGAACAGGAAGATCTCCATCCGGGCCAGCTGCTCCCCCAGACACACTCTCTTCCCTGTGGAAAAACATTTTAAAATTTCTAAAAATAACACTTTCACATATTTACGATAATCCTATTACATGCACCTTCAGAAGAATATTTAACAATAAAGAAGTAACTGCAGTAGGAATCATCGGGTCTAAAGGAAATTTTACCAGCTGAAAAGGGCAGGAAAGCATCTCTTCTCCTGAACTTCCCCTCTGCATCCAGGAAATGTCCAGGATTGAAAGTGAAGGGAGTCTCCCATTCAGTCTCATCAAAGAGCACAGAGTCTAAAGTCACTATCACCATTGTTCCCTAAAGCACAGACAAAGACCCCTGAAACATTACGAGCGTAACCTCACATAGGTAGAACACGTGATGATGTCAACCCTCCATGAACGCCAATAACATACTTCATGCGGAATTTCATTACTCACCTTTGGAACTGTGTATCCTCCCAGCTCTGTGTCTTTTGTGGATAAGCGTCCAAGCAGTGGTACAATGTTGCCCATCCTCTGTACTTCATGGACGACAGCGTCAGTGTACGGCATGTTTGGCCTGTCTGCCATGCTGGGCTGACGTGACCGTCCAATCACACTGTCTATCTCAGCCTGCACCTTCTCTAAAAACAGAATAGGGTACATATAGACAAACCAAGCGAACGTCTCCACTGTAAAACATTATATCCATTTAGTACTGCTGCAGTGTTGTGGAACGGAAGGCAATTTCAATTGTTACTATTACAGCTGTAATTATTTTTCATATAAGTGGCTACCATTAATCATGGTTATAAATCTGGGCTTAAACACCACACTTAATTATGATCACAAAGAAAAAAACAACAATTATTATTATATTACTTCTTTAGACAACTTATCACAGAGTGGAAATGTGTTCTCTGTAGTGGTTATATGACTGTTTTATTCTTTCAAAATATGGTTAATTAAATTAAACTAACCTTGTATGTCTGGATATTTGATCATGTACAACAAGCCCCAGTACAGCGTAGTAGATGTAGTCTCAGTTCCAGCCAGGAACAGATCGATGGTGCAGTAACACAAGTTCTCCTCATTAAAACCAGCATCAACATCATCTTCCCACTGCGACAAAAAATATATTCTGTTGTTATGAGGAAAAAGATACTTACTATGAAACTGGAATGTTTCTATTTGACTTATTGAATTCCATATTAATTATGTCCATCAATCCACTTTGATCTAATTAATCTCCAGTGAGAAAAAAGAGAAGGTATTTCATCTATTAAATGTATATAACTGCTTACCCATACCAAACACTGCTGATCCAAACCAAATTGCAGGAAAATATGTACTCAATAAATACATTATTGTCACAATTAACCAGTGTTTGGGAAGCTACTTTTAAACAGTAGCTTTTCAAGCTACAAGCTACGTATGTTTAAAAAGAGTTAAGCTACAGCCAAGCTACTGTTTTAATATAGTAGAGAACTACACCACAAGCTAGAGGAAAAAGTAGCTAGTTACATTGAAGCCATTTAATCCGGTAATACTTAATATTTATACTGTAGGACACTCTTAAAGAAAATGAATTAAAAAATGTGAAATATGATGTTAAAAGTAATATGCATATTACGAGTGCGAACAGTAGACTGAGCACGAGATGAACGAACAAGTGTCTCGCGGAAATATTCTGCCGCTGCCAGTTGGGGCAGAAACTGTCTTTGACTGTCACTCATACTGGGCAACATTCTCACTGCCTGATGCGGTGCAGTCGTGGCCACATATCCGCAATCTCGGAACGATCGTAAAGTCAACCAGTCGTAAGTTGCATAGGTTGTAAGTCAATGACGACCTGTAGTATATTTTAATGATGTAGCATTTTGCCATGCTATATCACTATTTGTAAAAAAAAAAAAAAAAAAGGAACATTATGGAAAAGCAGTTTTAACTACTAATAAGCTACTGAAAAAAGTAGTTAAGTTAGTAGCGTAACTACCTGTAGTTAGCTACTCCCCAACAATGCAATTAATTGTCCAGCCCGATACCTTTTCCATCTCCAACAGGAAGCTGTCTATATAGTCTCTAGGAGATGATGGGTCCCAGTCTTCCTGGTGCTCCTTAATTTTCAGCCGGACAAAAGACATCAGAGTCTTCCAGTGTGAAAGTAATTTCTTGTGGGGACCAGGGATTCTCCGCATCAACCAGGGGAACATATTATACATCTAAAACGAAAAAAAAAATGAGTCATTTAGGTAATGTGTAGTGTGAGGGATTAACCTCTCTGGAGGCCTTTCGCTGACATGGGGAGCCGCCAACCACCCCCCCGCCCCCCATAGGGCCACTTGAGGTATTTTTTGAAGCCAAAAGACAAATGAACAAGAATGAAATATTATGCAATGTCAATAATCCACTAATCAGCGCCTGGGATAAAAATTTGGCAATCAGGTTGGAGGGAGTGATTCGAAAATTAGCCGATTATAGGGTATGGAGGGTAAACGTTCCATTCTTGCAGAGCTGGGGCAGGGCCCCTAATTTTGCAGAGGCCCTAGGCTATAGTGTAGGATAGCCCATGCATCAATACACCATTGGTAATGGGGCTAGTTTAGTTCAAACAAAAACATGTTAAACTTCTATTTATCCATGAACACTGGAGTTGAGAAACAGCGACAAACCGTAGCCCAAATGCTTCCTTCTAAATAGACAGTTTCATTGATTATCTTCAGCAGAGTTCGGAAGTAGCTGTCATTGTAGTCAAAGCGATCCCCAAACACCAGGCAGCAGATGATATTGGAGACGGCATTGTTCAAGATAAACTGAGGGTCAAATGGTTGGCCTAAGGAAAGGATTTTCATCAAGGTATATATCCAGTTCTGTGTCAATGGGTTGTATTGTATTGCATTTCAGATTTTTACTGACATAGCAAGTCGTGATGAATTTTAAATAAACAAATGGGAATATTTATATAGATTATACAAAGGGCTACATCTTACATGACTAGGTCACCATGGGACAAACGTTCATGTTTGGGAAAGTTTGTACCTTGTGTATTGGCTATGACCTCATTCAGTAACGTGCTCTCCACCTGAATGGAGGACTCAAGGCTCTTTTTGCCCAGTCCAAAGTGCTTCAGGGTTGAGAGAGCAAACCTTCTTTGTTGTTTCCATAGGTAGCCATTGGAGATCGCCAAACCTAAAACAAACATTTTCTCACTTTGAAGAAGAAACCAGAAAAAAATCTGCCCATGTGGGCATACATATGCTCATAAATGATGGTTCCATGGTTGAACACAAATGAAAACATTGCATATCTAATGTTATACAATGTACAATGAGAAGAATATCAGCTACATCAGTGTGAACAAGTATTACTGGTCACTATGTTGTGGTGTGAAATGGAAATACAGATAGCTTGGTTTATAGGGGACTACTGATACAGCGATAAAGTGAGGTTTACTACAATAAATAGATAATGCTTGTTTCAGAGACGCTTAAGATCATCACAATGGGTGACTAGCATTATCACAAGAAATACTGGACTATCTGCATCTTAAACTTTAACCAGAGAGGTGAGATTGATACCCCCAACACTGGAAATGTGAATAAATGTGTTTTAGCTGGACTGGGGTCCCAGATACCTCACCATTTGGGCCCTGTGATATGCAACCAGCCGTTATCCTTTACTTTCAGATTAAAGGCTAAACAATCGAATTTTAGTTGAGAACAAAAGCATGGCATACACAGTTCCAACATTTTTTGCTAATTATTATTTTAAAAAATACCGTTATTATGCACAATGTCTTCAAATATTGGCTGTTCTGCACGATCTGCAAAGTTTTCCCCGTGTTGAACTAGGGCTTCTTTCACAAGTTTAAAACTGCCCACAACAACGATGTTTCGTTCCAAACGAAGACTGAAAATGTTTCCGTATTGCTTGGCCAACTGGATTTAAAAAAAAGAAAATACAAAAACACAGTTAATGTCAAATGCACAATATTTCATAAATATAAATAACACATATGGAGGTAAGTGAAAAATACAGGCATGTATGTAGATGTTACTTGACCTTTTAAAAAATTTTATGGCTTAAGTTGTGAGCAGACTTACTCAAAGTCTCATTTTTATCTTAAATAACTACAGGCTATGATCCAGCTTCTGTTGGTCTCTGTTACAGGAACATGGGACTTTGACCCACCAAAGTAAAGTTGCTCCCGCTACCATGTGGAGTTGTGCAGCTAGCAATTAATTTGGCATTTTCCTACTATGTTCATACCTTGTTTTCATCACGTGTCTACTGCATATTCATTACGTGTTTATCCACAGAAGTGAAATACACAAATTACATTACAAATAGAAAAAGATTACACTAAAAAAGAAAAAAGATTACAAAAAAAGGTGGCAAGAGAGATATAAAAAACAACCATCTGGTACCCCTTTATAAGTCTTATTTAACAACACCTACAGCAGTGGTTCCCAAACTTTCTCTGCAGGGCCCCCTTTTTCTAGATAGGAACATTATTGAGCCCCCCATTCAAACTACACAGGTTCAGATTCAAACTCTATTTGAAATACAACTCCCTTTTCTAATTGAGCGAAACAAATGCAATTACAAAATACAAATGGTGCAATTTCACCACTGTGGGAGAAAAAAGAGCAATCAATTAAAAATAAAAGTCCAGCATAAGTTTGAAATTATGCAAATGCAGATTTAACATTCCTGTTAATATTCATTGGCGTAAAGTTTCTTACGTTTACCGCATTTTGTTTTTAATGATAACCGCAGGTTTTAACCTATACTATAGCACAAAACAACATCTAAATCATACCCATTAATTGATAGTTTCCCTGCACTTCATGTAGAAAATTTTAAACCTCGTTTTTCATGATATGGTTAGATTATTTTGGTCCGGCGCTGCAAAACGTCGTCACGCGTCACCATGTCACATGGTACGAAAACCTTGCAAGAGCAAGACGCCTTAAGACAGATCATACACCACCTCTCAGCTGGCTGAACAAACTGGATCTGCCTCCGTGACGACACAACTTTGCCATTATTGGCTGAAGAACGTGTCGTTTGTATGACGTTTGTATCCCAGGAACTTCCGATGCGTTATCTGCTATTTCTCCCGAATATCACGCAAAGCAGTGAGAACTGGTTTTCAGTTAATTTACCTGGTAAAAATTAGTTTAAATAAAGTACATAAATTCTGAATGAACCCACTCCCTTGGCTGAGAAGCAACCCCACACATGAATGGTCTCAGGATGCTTTACTGTTGGCATGACACAGGACTGATGGTAGTGCTCACCTTTTCTTCTCTGGACAATCTTTTTCTGGATGCCCCAAACATTCAGAAAGGGGATTCATCAGAGAAAATGACTTTACCCAAGGCCCAAGTCCTCAGCAGTCCAATCCCTGTACCTTTTGCAGAATTTCAGTCTGTCCCTGATGTACTCACACCTGCCTGCTGCCATTCTTAAGTAAGCTCTGCACTGGGGTTGCCCCGATCCTGCAACTGAATCAAGTTTAAGAGACGGTCCTGGTTCTTGCTGGACTTTCTTGGGCACCCTGAAGCCATCTTAACAACAACTGAACCTCTCTCCTTGAAGTTCTTGATGATCCGATAAATGGTTGATTTAGATGCAATCTTAATAGTAGTAATATCTTTGCCTGTGAAGCCCTTATTGTGCAAAGCACTGATGACTGCACATGTTTCCTTAGAGGTAACCATGGTTAACAGAGGAAGAACAATGATTTCAAGCACCACCCTCCTCTTAAAGCATCCAGTCTGCTATTCTTACGCAATTATGTTCAATATAGAGATAATAAGATTCATGTAAAAGTTTTATTACTTTGTAAATAATCTGTACGGTTTGCAAACTACCCCAACGCTTCTGATGTACTAATTTTAGGTTTATAATGGAATAATATAGATTTGCCATAAGATTGCTTGGTTGACAGTCTGAAAGCGCGAGTGTCACAACAGATGCGTGACAGTTGTCAACCCTGCTGTCTGTGTCCATGACTTTCGGTGCCTAGCGATTCAGTATTACTCAGGATTAGGAGCCACTTGCATTGATTAGTAATTAATATCTGTTTCCCCCATACAGTCCACTGCCGTGGATCATTATGAAAGCAGCCCAAAAACCCACAATCCGCGACCTCCTAATATTTACCCGCAACTATGTTTTCAAAATAGCCCAATTGGGCAAGGAAACCGCGGATCAGGCAACTCTGAAATCAGTGCAGCAACATAAAAGTGAATATCGGATACAAGTCAGGATGCATCATTTCTATCATCTCTGCATCTGAAAAATCCAGTTAATATATACAGTAGGCTTAATTATTAGTAGAGCCCCTGTGTCTTTATTATTTAGAAATGTGACCAATAATTTTTGAACAATAATTTTATTTTAAATTTTCCCCTTCTCTAAACTGTTGCAGTAGCTGTACCATATTGAATTGCTTAACATCATATTCTGTTGAATCACATTGTACTGTGTTGAATCGCATTGTGTTGAATCAAATCATGTTGAATCGCACTGCTCTGCAAAAGGAGTGAATCATGTTTTATCGCATTAGTAGTTGCTTCATATGTATCTGATGTATGTATCTGACCGCTGGCAATGCATCAAGATCTGTATCGCATCGGCCTATCACGGACATGCATATTCCTCATTCAATATACAGTCCAGCTACAACGTGTGATATCACACTGTTAAATTAGGGTTGCACCTAAGCTCTGGAGGGTGGTAGATCTGCTGGAGCAGGATTGGGCCCTGATGTAGGAACATCCCCTGCAGAAAAGGTATAAAATTCGATGTTGATTTGTGGTGGGGGGGCTCTTCTCCTTTGCATATGGGGAACCCCTGTTTCAACAGGCCAAATTGAACGGGAAACTTATCCTACCCTAACGTGTCTGCATTTTATTCATATCTGTCTGAAATTCTAAAATTATTTGACAAATTATCAAATAAAAACACAAAGCAGCTTTTTTAGTTCACTTACATTTGCTTTTCATAGACTGTAGACATGCTGCATCGTGAGACTCATAGGAGATGTTTATGATACAATTTATGTGTTATTATTATTTATTATTTAAAATCCATATAATTACATTATTGGTGACTGGTATCACAGTTTTATTATTTAATTAATTTTGTTTAGTGTAATAAGTTACTACATACTGGAGTTGCATTCCCCTAATCCAATTATTCCCATAGCATTTGTGAATTTAGTACCCAATTTTAGTGAATGCAAAGTTTTTCAGGGATGCATTAGTTGCGTTGTAGGAGGACTAAGTATGTAGCATCTTATTACCATTGCATGGTATGCTAATTAATATTGGCACTGCCCCCACTATAATATGATTGGTTCCCCGGGTGGCTCCTTCATTTTAATTGGTTGGTAATGATGTCGATCATGGAACACATTTTTTTCCACGCAAGTATACTTTTAGTCGCTCCCAAAATTGCAATAATATACCAGAAGCATAGTTAAAGTTATTCTACAATTAAATTTAGTATAGTGATTTTTATTATTTTGTGAATTTAGGATAAATGAAGTCAGTGATGGCCTTAATTTTTCTTCTCATGATGCCCCCACCATTTTACTGTTACCCCTCCCATGCAAATAATCTGGACCCACAAGGTAAACTTGTCCATCCACCAACATGAAAGAGAAGGAGATCATTTAAAAGCATTACATTCAAATTTCATTAAACTTATTATCTGTTTAGTAATGGTTGTATTCGTTACCACCAGTCTGAAATTTAGTTTTTCGGCTGAGCGGTTTACAATCTAGAAGATCAAATTCAAAGAAATATATAACAATTTTGAAAATTATATTAAAGTAGTACATATTTTTGAAACATATAAAAATCATTATATGTGAACAGTCAGCACTGAACTTAACTTTAAAATGCACAATCATTTCTTATTATAGCAGCACAAATGCACATAAAATAAGTACGCATTTGCGCTGTCACAACAATGGATTGCTGCACCTATTACTTTTGAGGGTGAATGCGTACTTGCATTCCAGTTATGTGCATCCCTGATGACTTACCTTGGCTAGCTGAAGGTGGATTTTTGATGCATTGAGGCTGAGTAAGTTGCCGAAAAAAGGTAGCGGCCAGGGTCCAGGGGGGAAGTTTTTTGGGCCTTTTTGTCTTATTAGGCTGCTGAGTATTAAAATCACAGCAAGAAACAAAAAAAAACTTCTGAGGCCGAGCCACTCAAAATACGAGACCACAGAGGTTGCGGTCATTGCTTATGGGAGCTGCAGGCAAAGGAAGGACTGAAAGGCAAAAGCTTGGTGTTGATGCTGTAATTTGACTATATACGCTCCACTGGATGTGAGTCAACTGTGGATGTGAGTCACACATGCGCCAGTGTTGAAAGCCAAATGTAAAAGCAACTAAAACTAACGAAAAAATAAAAAAAACTGAAGCCAAATTCCTTCCTCTGAACCACTTTGCCAGTGTGAATACAGATATTTAGGGCAGGACTTCCAACTTTGGTCAGCTGGCTGGGATGAGATTTTCACTTTGAGACAATTCTGCACACACATCCACACACCTTCACATAACTGAATGGCAAATGGTTGGTGTTAACCCTGTAATTTGGCAAAAAATCCAGTCGCTACAGGATCTCATTCAGCCATAGATATGAGTCACGCATGCACTGCCAATCTGAGTCAACTGTGTTAAACTATTAAAGTATTAAAATATTCAAGTAATAAACAACATAATAACTGCTAATTTCCAGGCAGACGATCATCAAAGTTTCTCTGTAAGGTGCATCAGTTCAGGTGAGTTTGTTTGTCACAGCATTCAAATCATATAGATTACATGCATGTACATTTTTTCTAAAATTTCACAGATAATTTTTTCTTTTCAAGGTTGAGCTGAATGATCAAAATCTAAATCACAGTTTAAAACAACACGGTTAGCAAATCGCAAAAACTGAGGTTTAGGATATGCATTGTATAGCACGTCTGACTGAGGGTTTAAAACTGTCGTGAGAATAGCTTTACAAATTCATGTCATCCTCCTTGTGTGAGAGTAATGCTCAGCAAACAGTTGGCCCAAGGCAACTGCCTATACACCCATAAACAACAAACATGTGACACCCAAGGAAAACATTACACTCGCAGTGCAACAAAAAAAAATGTTGATTCCACTGCTGAGCTATAAGTGAATTACCTACCTATTTCATGGCCAGAGATTGTTTACAGAAAGGCCCTATTTTTGGGGGTCCAAACAGCGCTAGCTGCAGGGTCCCTATTCAATCAAGGTTTGCACAGTTACAGTACGGTTACTTGTGGCTTTAATTTTAAATACATATATGCCGGGTCACTGAAGACTCGGGGTATGTACACGAGGATTAAAAGAGTAATAAATACATGTTGGAAGCAGTTCATATCTTTGTTCTCATCCTTACGTTTGAATATAGACCATAATATTTTGATGGTATCTCATGTGGTAATGCTGCATCATGTTTTAAATCTATTACACACAGAATGTTGAACTGAAGTTCGACTTTAAAAAAATGATATTACTTCATAATGATGTCAATCATATCGCAATCGCAATATCTGTCAGTAAAATCACAATTAGATATTTTCTCCAAATCAATCAGCCCTACTTGAAAGAGTACCGATTAATAGGCTACAGTGCTACACGTACTGGCTAAAATCATTAACAGCATTTGATAAAAATTTACCCAAAATGCATGTCCCAGCTGCCTTTTCATACTGTACTTCTGTCAGGGTCAGTCCCTATGGAATTAGATTTGTGCCAATTTTATCAAGCAAAAGTTTTTTAGAAAATAAAACTCACTGAATCAAAAACAAAGTCAGTTAAAAAAATAAAATTTACAACTTGCAAACAAATTATTCTTGTACTTTTTTGATAACGTGTCCCTTTGTTTACAATTCCAGCTTTCTCATTTGTGCTGCCAGCTTCCCGATTACCCTGCCAGTGCTCTGGATGTTGTTTAATGTAGTTTCGGTGGACATGGACATCCTAAACAGTGGGACTGGGCATTTACTGGATTCCTACAAGGTTAATAAAGTTTAAGTATTGATCATAAATGCTGTCTGTACTGTACTTGA